TCTTGGAAAAATCGGAACAGCTTATCTGGCAAATGAGACTATGTAGAAAATTTCACTGAAAGCATGACACATAGCTGGCGAGGACAGAGTCGAAGGTATCTAAGTAAAAAAATTTAAAAAAAACAACAGGAATAATTATTCACTTTTCCTAGATACAAACGTATCATGGGGGATGAAGGGAATTGAAATTCCAGGCTTTGTTCATCGAGGAAAGCTCTATATGTGTTACAACAACGTGAGTGCTAAAGTTGGATTTAACCTTTAATTGAGATGCAACTGTATTCAGAGGTTGTGGAGAGGGGGAGAGAGTGTGGCCATATAAGTACTATCAGCAGATAGCCGAGAACCATGAAACCATAGGAATAGAGTAGCCTTTACTGAAGGCTGGAGGGAGGAGGAGGCCGAGGAGGGGCTGCAGGACAGAAAGCTTCAGATGGCAGACGTAAGCTTGAGTTGTATTTCTGCAGTCTGTGGCACGGTGTGCTGACTAGATAGTAGCTGGTTGCTGTTTATTTCATTACAAGAAGGAAAATGGCACGTGTGCTCATCATGAACCATGACAAGCCGTTGAGGTGATGGGTAGGTATATTAGCCTGATTTAATAATTTCACTTCAAGGGCTGGGAAGGTGGCTCAGTGGTAGAGTGCTTGCCTTGCATGCCTGAGGCCCTGGGTTCGATTCCTCAGCACCACATAAGCAAAAAGAAAAAAGCCGGAAGTGGCGCTGTGGCCCAAATGGTAGAGCGCTAGCCTTGAGCTGAAGAGCTGAGGGACAGCGCCCAGGCCAGAGTTCAGGCCCCACAACTGGACCTAAAAAAAAAAATAATTTCACTTTCAATGAAAACCGTAATGTCATTTTGGACCTAAAAAAAAAATAATTTCACTTTCAATGAAAACCGTAATGTCATTTTGGACTGTATAAAACTATACAGCCATAATAGCAATATTTGCTTTTAATCCTGCCCATAGCAGGATTGGCTTAAGGCAAAGAGGGAGAAACGAATTCAAAGATCCCCCAAGAAAATGACCCAACTTCATGCCCTCCCCCCTCATCTGACAGAAGCGGTCAGAGTCTGTGTAAGGAGTTCTTGCCTCCTTGCTCTGTATCTCTGGGGGGACCCGAACAACAGGCATTAGTGGCTGGAAAGGCAAAGTTGACTGGAGACATAACCTCCTACGTGTCCTCGCTCTTAAAAGAATTCTGGGCTTTGTTCCTGCTGGTAGTGGGACCAAATAACATACAATTGTAAAATCCAAATGCAGTCTGAACTTCCTGCATTCAGAACCATGAGCCGTCCGGAGGCAGAAGGGCCCTGTTAAAAGTGGGGACTGCGATTTGATTTTTGAAAAGAACATTTGGCTTTTCTCTACCTTGTTTCCTGGCAGGTGCCATTGTGCTGTCTGGTTGGAAGCAATCATGTGCCCTGTGAGGAGAATGCTCTAGAGATGAAGGAGGCTGGAGCCCGCTGGGGGAAAAGCGTTTGTTAACTCTTTCCTCTCCACCTCCTCCTGGGACATGCTTAGACTCCTACTTTTCCATCTGTTCCTTCAGGATCCTGTCTAGCTGACCCCCAATCTCAGTTTTGTGAATTGTGGAGGGAGGAGTATTTAAATGTAAATGACTAAAGAGCTGCTCTTTATGTGGTGCTGGAATATTCTTTTCCAGTGGGAAGGGCGGTTAAGCTCTACAATTTTCACTGGTCTGACTTTTTGCTTATTTCTTTCAAAAAGAAGAGCAAAAGCTACTGTATCTAGTGTGCACGTCAACTTTATAGATATTGCTGTTTTATTGAGTGCTGAGTGTTGTCAGTCCGTTATTTAATGATAGCTTATTGAGGAAAGAACTTTTTTTTTTTTTTTTTGGTTGGTCGTGGGGTTTGAACTCTGGCTTGGGCGCTGTCCCTCAGCTCTTCAGCTCAAGGCGAACGCTCTGCCGCTTGAGCCACAGCACCGCTTCTGGTTTTCTGGTGGTTAATTGGAGATAAGAGTCTCACAGACTTTCCTGCCTGGGCTGGCTTTGAACTGTGATCCTCAAATCTCAGCCTCCTGAGTAGCTGGGATTACAGGCGTGAGCCTCCCAGCTGGGAAGAACTTTTTTATTCATTAGCTCCGTTTTCTAAATGAAGAACTGAGAATTATTAAACAATTTCTGGCTTCAAAACTTCCCATTTTTCCTTCAATTCCCCAACTGCAGGCTCACCATTGTTTTCCTTGGCACTAGAAGTTAAAGGTGAAGTTAGACCTCAGGTGCTGCCTTGGGTCGCATCAGTTCCTCTTTCTACCAGCAGGTGGCACACTCACCCAGTGAAATCCTCTGAAATCGAGCTGGACCATTGCTCTGGAGGTGCAAACTGCTCAGTTGGATTATCAGGCCAGCCCTTTCTGGTTGGGCTTGCCTTATTCAGTGAAGATAATGCATGTGGTCAAGCAGTGACTGTGAAAGTCCTGCAGCATTGTATTACACTGCATTAAAGTACAGCATTACATTAAAGTTTCCTTTACCCTACACGATACACATGCTAACACTACCTTTGTCACCCACTATGCTTCAAATCATGTAGTTCAGAGAGCCACTTGATGAGAAAAACCATGTAAGACCAAGTTAACTTTCCACTTACACAGTCCTGACCAGCTGTATGAGCTTCGAGTACGGAACAGGTTCAAATCCTGAGTGTACTAGACCACCCTGGCCTCTCGACTCTTCCACCTGGATTCCGCACCTGTCAAGATCACCAGCATTTCAGTTTTGGGTGTGGCACCACGAGCATGACGCTGGTGCACCCAGCTCTTGGGGAAGTCGTACCTGGCCTGTGGTGAGTATGGATCAGCAGGAGTCCTCAGGAAGCCCCCCTGCCCCCACCTCAATTCCAGGGCTTCCCATCTGCTTTGGCAAATCAAGTTGGTTTAGCTCTTTGTACGTCTTTATATACTTGGTTGGACTTGGTTCTAACTCCTCAACTCAGTACTGCTGGTGTCCAGTTTCTATTTTATGAGGAAGCAATGGTACAGAATCACTAGGAATTGTCAGAGGGAGGGAGAGAGAGAGGAGGGGGGTGGGAGAAGGGGAGGAGAGAGGGGGAGGGGGCAGGGGAAGAGGAGGAGGGGAAAGATGAGTGGGAGAGGGGAAATGGAAGAAGAGGAGGGGGAGAGGGGAAAGAGGAGAGGAAGAGGGAGAGGGAGGAGGAGGGGGAGAGGTGAAGAGGAGGAAGGGGAGAGGAGGAGAGGGGGAGGGGGAGAGAGAATTTAACAAAGTGTAGCTTATGGAAAACCCTAAAAAGAGCAACACTTCCCCCTAACCTTCTCCTCAACCGCCACTGCCACCCAGAGAGAGCTGTGTTCATCTCACCTGCCCCAGGCCCTGTTCGTTCATATTTCCTGCAGGGAATGGCACCGTCTCCCCTGGTGCCCTGCCAAGAAAACTAAGGAGGAATCTGGAGAGAGATGTTCACTGTGCCCAGGTACTATCCAAGCTGGAGCTGGTATTGCTGGGCTCCGAGAGAGAACTTGTCCCACTCTGCCCAAAGCCAGGTACCCTTCCCACCTCCCCTTCCCGATCAGGCATCAAGGTTAATCCCACCTGCCAGCCAGTATTTAACTTTCCATGTTAAGATTAGATTAAACACTTGGGTTTGCAAGAGCTTAGGGTTGCAGACTGCAGCTAGCAAGGGCTTAGGTGGTTACAAGCCGAAGGAACTTGCAGACTTGCGTGCAATTGTGAAGAGCCTGCCAACACCCGCAGACAGGCTTTGCAAAGGGATCCCGGTGCCCACACACTGTCATAGGTAAGTTTTATGACAAATTTTTAATTGTTTAAGGAATTATGTAGCAACATTTATCTATTTTTCTTTCCCAGAAAAAAAATGAAAAGACATTGTTTTGCTGGCGTATGGCCTGGCTTGTATGCTTGGTTTTTGCTGGCGTATGGCCTGGCTTGTATGCTTGGTTTTTCTCCTTTCCTCCCTCTCTTTCATGTCGTCCATCCTTTCTGTTTTCCTTGCTCATTTCTTCAATGCCTTTGGACACAAATGTTGAAAAATCGTATTTCTAGATTTATGCTAAATTGAGAAACTCACATCTCTTTGTGTCTGTGGTGCTGCCTTGTGCAGGTCCAGGCAGTAGTAACAAGCCATCCTTTCTCAAGCAAAGGAAACTGTGGGGGGAAGTGAGGCTCAGATTGTCAATGCCTCTGGCTACATCCCCACTCCCAGCACTTATTAATGAGTCACTGAATTGTTTGCTAAGTGCTTGTTGTGAATAAACCATAGTGCTAGCTATGGTGAAGTTATACGATTTTTTTCTTCTCTCTCTCTCTCTCTCTCTCTCTCTTTTTGCAGGTTGTGGGGCTTGAACTCTGGGCCTGGGCGCGCTGTCCCTCAGCTCTTCAGCTCAAGGCTAGTGCTCTACCACTTGAGCCACAGCGCCACTTCTAGTTTTCTAGTGGTTATTGGAGATAAGAGTCTCACGGACTATCTGCCTGGGCTGGCTTTGAACTGCGATCCTCAGATCTCAGCCTCCTGAGTAGCTAGGATTACAGGCGTGAGCCACCGGTGCCCGGTGGGTTGTTGTTTTTTTAAGAACAAAAGCAATACAAGATTATTGATGAATATTTTGGCCTAAGAGCGGAGCATAATGAGCAAAACGATACGTATATCTGTAAGCATACCACCCCTTATCCACATTTCCATCTAGTTATTTCATCTTTTTCCCATTTTCATATGCATTTGTCTATTTATTTACATAGATGTGTGTGTCTAAATGCAGTTCTATGCCCCTCGATTCCAGTTTTATTGTGAACAGTCATGGATGCAAAAGAAGGAATAAAATGTATAGGATCTGTTCAAAGACTAACCAAGTGTGCATTCAGTCAACTGTGAGGAGGGCTAAGAAAAAAATGAATATTACTTCTCTCCTTGTGTCCCCCTCTCTGAAAGTAGCCAAATGGGCAAAGGATCTTAACCTCGTGCATCTATGTTATCATTTGAATTGCAGCAGGAGGGAGCCATGCCTACGTTATCCAACTTCACCCAGACTCTGGAAGATGTCTTCAGAAGGATTTTCATCACCTATATGGACAGCTGGCGCAGGAACACAACGGCCGAGCAAGAGGTGCTGCAGGCCAAAGTGGACTCCGAGAACTTCTACTATGTCATCCTGTACCTCATGGTGATGATTGGGATGTTCTCCTTCATCGTCGTGGCCATCCTGGTGAGCACGGTGAAATCCAAGCGGCGGGAGCACTCCCAGGACCCCTACCACCAGTACATTGTGGACGACTGGAAGGAGAAGTACAAAAGTCAGATTTTGCACCTCGAAGAATCCAAGGCCACCGTCCATGAGAATCCAGGTGCGGCAGGGTTCACGCTGTCCCCGTGATGGGGGAGGTGGGAAGCAAGCCCACCGATGGCTGACCGGAGCAGTGTTTTTGTGCTGGAGATCTCTTTTACTCTCCACGCAATGTAAATGTCATTCAGATCAATGTCAATAGTGAAAATAAAGGCAAACTTGGATGTCAAGGACCTGGGAAGTTGGAAACAGAAGGAGAGATTTACAAATCACTGAAGCTTCTCTCTCATAAAATATGAGTGTTGGATGTGACAAGTTTAGTGTAGGAACAACTCCAATGTATTATGTAGAAGGTGAGTTTCCCAAATCTATCACTTGCTCACTGCATTGATACACTGGCTTGTTCATTTTATGAGTGCAGCATCTGAAATGATGCATGGACTAAAGGTGAGGCGAGTTTACACTTATTGTTTTCCTGGTTTGTAGTTTATTTGGAATTCTGAAGGCAGAACACAAATGGCAAAGAGCACACGTTCACACCATGGAAGACAGAAAGAGCACACATTCACACTATGGAAGATGGTTATTTCAGAGCCACCCAGTGCAAGACAAGAGTATTTGTAAACTAGCACCTAAAGTTTTGTAGAAAACAAACATTTGAAAGTTCCTGGGCTCTGGTGGCTCACATCTGTCATCCTAGCTACTTAAGAAGTGGAGATGTGAAGATCACTGTTTGAAGCCAATCTGGGCAGAAAAGTCCATGAGACTCTTATCTCCAGTTAACCACTAAGAGTCATAAGTGGAGCTGTGGCTCAAGTGATAGAGCACAAGCCTGACACAAAAAAAGCTGAGGGACAGGGCCTAAGCCTTGATTTTTAAGCCCCAGGGCACACACACACATGCACACACACACACACACACACACACACACACAGAGTTCTTGGTGCTTGCCTCAAATGCTCAAGATCATGAATTTAAGTCCCAGTCCACCACACACAAAAAAATAATTCTCAGTATTTGAGGAAAAAATTACCAAAGTTATGGCATTGCTTTGTAAACAACATCTTTTATTTTGTTCTATTTACAATCACTTAGCTTATATTTGCAGAGACTAAAGCTAGAAAGTATCTAAATTTCAGATGTCAGTTGCAAAGCCAGACTGCTTAATGTTGTGCACTATGAAGGGAAGCAGTTGGTCAAAGAATATGATACACAATTTTAGTCTGTTAGGAGGAATAAGTATGGTATGGTGACCATAGTTAGTAACAATATTTTGTATTCTTGTGTGTGTGTGTGTGTGTGTGTGTGTGTGTGCATGCCAGGGCTTAATCTCAGAGCCTTTCATTCTTGCTCAGTTTTTAGCTCATGGTTGGCACTTGAGCCTTGCCTCCAGTTCTGGTCTTTAGCTGGCTAATTGGGGATCAGAGTCTCAAGGATTTGTCTGCCCTGGCTGACTTCAAGTGAAGAAGTTTTTAGCCTCCAGGGTAGCTTGGATTATAGGCATGAGCTACCAGCACTCTGATAGGCATTGTATTCTTGAAAAACACTGAGAGAGTAGATATCAAGTGTTCTTATCATCAAATGATAACTGTGTGAGTTAGTGTATATCTTAGCTAGGTTTAATCATTGTACAATGTGTATTTGCAAATCATCACCTCATACTTGATAACCACACACAACTTTATTTGGCCCTGAAAATAATAAAAGGAATGACTTGGCACCATGGAGTGAGTGATATCATGGAATGTCAGAGGCGCCTGAGGGATGATTCTGTTCCAATCAAAGCACTTTATTTATAGATGAGGAAATGGCTCCACTGAGATGAGATGATTGTGAATTCAACTGGACAACTTGCATCTACAGGCGATCTTCCCAGCCCCCTAGGAAAGTGGAGATGAATGAAGTCCCTGAGTGGAGGATTCTCACACAGGACAGAGGGAGTCAGATTCCTAACAGAGTGAGATTAGGAAGAAGAGAGATCAGCACCAAGTAAAGTAAACAGGACCTGGAGGTGGTCGTCCTGTCCTTTCTTGGATCAAGGGCTCTCTCTCAGAGCAGCTAGAGTGGGAAGGGCATAGCACAGAGATGGAAAGGAGTCTAAGCATCCTGTAGCTTCTGGCTTCATGTCCTCCTCTTTCACTAGCCAAGGCCCAGCAGTTTTGAGCCTCAAGCAACAACAACAGAAGCAGCAGCAATCCAAAATACAACCACAACATCCAAAAGAGGAGCTCTTCAAAACATACTGCAGGACAGCTGGGCATGGTAGTGGATGTCAATAATCGCAGCAATGTGGGAGGCATGGGTAGGAAGATCTTGGCCTGAGACCAGCCCCCGGCAAAACACAGAACCCCATCTGAAAAATCAAAATAAAATAAAAATTTAAAAAAAGTCAAAAGGGCTGGAGATGTGGCTCAAGAAGTAGTTTCCAAACAAGGGCAAACTCTTGAGTTCAAGTCCAAGTTCACAGAGAGAGAGAGAGAGAGAGAGAGAGACAGACAGACAGACACACACACACACACACACACACACACACACACAGAGAAACACAGAGAAAGGGAACACACTTAAAGGGCTCCTTAACCAACCAACTTATTCTGCTTTCCATTGCTATAACAACACCTCTGAGACTGGGTATTTCAGAAAGAGGGTTGTTTTGACTCCTGGTTCTGGAAGTTGGTTGAAAGCCTCAAAGCCTGGCACTGGCACCTGCAAGGCTTCTGGTTATTTCTACTTCGAGCAGAAGGCAGACGGCTACGCAGATGTGTAGAAGAGGCAAGTCTGTCACGGCCTCTTTCCTGGGCAGCTGACTTAGTCCCTGACAGGAAGAAGTCATTCTCACAGGAGGGTTTGTCCTTGGGATGAGTCAAACCCTCACCACGCCTCCACACTATTCCACCGAGGACCAACACTCAATGTGAATTTGGGTGGCAGCAAAACAGATTCAAACCATTGCACCAACTACAAAATTCCTTGCTCTAACATGATGGCGTAGGAGACCTTCAAAGCACGTGTTTCCAGTAACAAACTTGTATTTATGCTGCCAGAAGCATTAGTTATGTATTTAGAAAGTTGTTCATCTCCCAAGAGCAGTTGTGGCCGGAGAGGCCTCCTCAGATCAGAATCCTACATGTGCTTTTGCACTCAGGTGTCTCCATCCCAGATGGTCTAGCTGGACTTCAGCTAGAAACCCGGGGCCTCAGGTCTAATCCAGACCCTTCCCATACAGCCCTTCTTTTTGACTCAACTCTGGGCAGGCTCTTCTGAGCCTTCTTCTTGGCTTAGCTGGAAACTTGACCTATAAATACACAGACTCTTGGTAGGAACAATTTCCACACACTAAGAGACTTGAACAAACACCAGCATTGTTCCTAACCACTCAAGGCTGGGTCCTTGTGGAGACTCCAGCCCCCTGAGCCTCAGGAAAAATGAACACTGCAACAAGAATTTGATTGTTCTAGCCTAAACTTGGTGACAGGCAGGCAAATCTCCTGCTCCCCTCTGGGGGCGACTCAGCAAGCTTGCAATTAGAAACCCTTTCTCCCTTTGAAGTATAAATATTCTACCATTGAGAAAGGTCTCCTTGTGCTGTCTCTGAAATGCAAACATTAGAACTCTCCCTGCTGGGTGTGTACTTGGCTCAGACTTACACCAGGGGCCCTGCTCCTAGATAAGATCAATTGATTTCTTCGCCTGATAGCAGTCAGAGCAAATCACACGGACCAATGACCTCTTGCTTTCCCTTTCCTGATATTACTTGAGCTCTGAAGAGTAGAGCGAAGTTCATGCTGGGGCCTCTTCTCTGTGGCAGTGAATGCTCAGTTTAGACTATCCTTTCTCCTTTAGTGTCCAGCTTTGTTTATCTTTGATCCAGGAAAACAAATAGAGGGGGAAAACTTCTAGGCTTCCCTAATTAAGTATATTTTATTATCATCATTAAAAATATGGGAGTCATTACTTGAAATCTATGAAATTTGCAAAGAAATAGTTATCAGTCAAGTTCAACTGTTAACTTTCCACTTTGGGGGAATGGGAGAAAGGCCAAAAGTTTGGAATCATGTTGAGTGTACAGTCGGCAAAAACATCTACCCCAGTTTTCTCCTCCAGTATCAACACTCACCAAAATGGGGCTTTTCAAATGCCAATGCCAATTCAAACAATCTGATGTTTGTTTTTGGGACCCTATTTGCTTACTGTTCTAGAAGAGAACTACTGACAGTCTTGAATATCACTTCTTAAAGCTCAGCTCAGAAGCTATTTAAAGCTGTGTAAGTCACTACCCCAGTGGCTGAGCTGGTAGATTCGAGCCCCCCTTTTCCCAGAGTGGGTCCTATGTCTGGTGTTTGCTGGTATTAAATTCTGGACAACTTAATCTCTTTGTGTCTTTATTTGTTCAATGGTTCTCATTATAGCACGTCCTTTATAGGCTTCTTATGAAAGTTTTTATATTAAAAGTGTGTCAAAAGGACTTTAGAACACAGGTGTTTCTGTTCCTTTCTCGGGGGACACTTCCCTTGTTAACCGTGCTAAATGCCCGCGTGCAGTGTGTTCCCCCTGGGTGTTCCTTTTCAGTACTCCAGTGCCACAGAAAGTCATGGATGGGATTGGGAGCTAGCCTTCTAGGTTCACTATGAGCCCTTCCACTACAGTGCCTGCGTTTCGTGGTGGCCTCAGTTTCCCTTCCATCGAAGGCTGAGCTGGAGCGTGTGGTCAGCAGCCCTGTCCTGTGGGGGCCTTTGCGCTCGGGTCAGCGGTGGGAACTGAGCATGCTCACGCAGCTCTGCAGGGGTCGGGAAGGGCGTGCTGAGGACGGCGGGAGGCACGGCGTGGCGGGCCCAGGCGGGCCCAGGCGCACTGTGCGCAGGCACTGCTGTCTACATGCATTTAAAGGCTACTTTTAAGACGTGCTTGTTGCATGAACAAAGAGCATCTGAGACGCTACTCCTGGAGCATCTCAGTCATCCTACAGGAAAACGCATGCGAGCTGGCCAAAAGGAGCCCCCACGACTCCCGGCCTTCCTGCCGCCACTCTCCTCCACGCCAGCCAGGGACCAGAGGAGGCTGTGGATGAGCGCCCCAGCCCACACCACACC